TGGTGAATTGCCTGTGGCGAGCTGCCTGAGGCGAGCTCAAACTATCTATCTGTCAAGAGGCTGCACTTAATTGGTATGAGGTGCTAGGTGTCATAATATCATTGAAGGGCCAAATCCGCCCTCATCGCGGTGCGATGGGGTTAAATCCGCACGGGAATTCTATTATCCAGATCCGGATAATCGGATTCGAAGTGGAATAGGATATCGGACTTTCGGATTTCATTAACGGCCTTACATCCGGTCATCCAGCCACGCATGCGCGAACATGTGCACTAACCATTCTCCACGTCAGCTTCAAACACGTGAGTGCCACCTGTCATCCAAATTGTGAAGTATCATTATTGGCCCACCATTCCACAGTTATTTATTCACGTTTTGAAACTCGGAAAGTTCTCTTCCCCCGCCTACTATCTCTCATCCATGCGGCTCCACGCGGTATTAGGTATTAGTTGTTAATGTTATACAACAAGCCAATTACCCAAACCCAACTCGACGAAGGGAACGGAGCTGCTGCAACTCCGTCCCACAGATAGTGGTGTGTCAGAAAATCTCTCCCACTTCAATTATTCTCTCCGTCAATAATGAGATAGATGTATGTGCCTCAGTGACTCATCAGTGAGTCATTCAGTCACCTCAGGACTGTACGCCTTCCCCGTGCTTGATGGAACTCGGTGTTATCACAAACAGGAAAACACTACTTTACATCCCATCCTTTCAAAATAAAAACCACTGGATTGAAATCTTTTCTCTCCAGTGATGCACCGACATTCCACATTCCAATCCAAAGACGCATTCCATTTCTCAGGCTTTCCGCTCAAGAATCTGGATGCGTATAAAGAAAGGGGGGGAGGAGAGAAGGAACTAGAAAGAATTCCAGATGAAAAAAGGGTGACAGCTGGCTACGTGAATCGAAAAGCGACAAAGCAGCTCTCGAAGACTGGCTAACTACCCAAACTGCTTCCGTTTATGGGATTAATACGCGATAAACAAGTAAAGGGCCACGAGGGCGGCCAAACCAAAACAGAATATTATGGATAACTTCCATTTTGTTGTTTTCTCGATCAACGTCAAACTCCGTTCAAAATATTCTGAACAAACCGGTAAATGTTTCGTCTCACGTGAGATTTTCCAGCCTGTCTCTGGGCCCACCAGACGTGGACTGACTCTATTCTCAGCTCTTTACTCGGGGCGGTTGATTCAACTTTTGAGCCGTTTGTTTCCAGCAGTGAAAACAAAGCTATTGATAGATTTTAAAGTTTAAGCACTATGCACTAACCCCCCTCCTCCCACCAGCTGTAAGCCTGTAACGTCTCCAACGTACGCCCTTTTGAATTAATTAAATTAAATCGCCGTTCTCCCCCTATGCTAATCATATTAGGGTCTAGTCTAGTCTATTTATTAATCTACCTTCAACTGATCTGGTGTTGCGCTTACTACTTCTACTTTACCATTATCCATCTTCAGTCTTCACATCTGACGGCCAACATCAACTTACTCATGGACTAGCGTTTTACTTTTATCCATCCAAACGCTAGAAACCGATGGATTAATGGATTAGGGCATAAACATTTAATGGGTTGCGGGTCAAAGTCAATCTTGGCTGATTTGTTGTACTTGTGTGTAACAAACTAAACTAACAAAACATTGAGATTGAGTGTCGATCACATGGTCGAGATCATCCGAATCGGTTTGAGTTTATCTCTTTGGGTGGGACCCGCCGAGTAGTACTCCTTACAGTACTGTTGTAGACCACAGGTTGGGGTTGGAACAACTTTTTCAAAGCCCCACGGTCATAGACCATAGATCAAAGATCAAACCCAACCCCCAGTGAGTCGCGACAACTACGCTCATAGGAATGGAAAGCGTATAAAATAATCGAAAAGAAATTCGAGAACAGGGTGCGCATTTAACACACCCCGCAGTACTCATAAGAGAGAGAGAGAGAGAGCTCTACAGTCTACACCTACACGAACTCCTCAGTCGGAGTCAGTCCTCACGAAAGGGGGGGACCTTCCAGGAAGGGACGATGGAATGAAAAGCCTCTTCCCTTCCTTCCCTGCCCGCCTGCCCGCCTGCCCGCTATATATACATCAATTCTTTACCCAGTCGACTCATTCTATCGAGCGCCGCCTGGTTCGGAGTTCACTCAACCCACACCAACGAACGAAGAGTACTCGAAGAGTCGAAGAGTGTTGAGTTTTTCTCTCTGAAGCCAAGATATGGAAGCATTCAATACTTGCTCATCTTCGTCGACGTCGTCGTCCGATTCGTCCTCGTCTGAGTCTTCGCTGCCTGGAAAGCAAGTGAGAGCGATAAGTAAGTCGGAGAGGATCAAAGGACCTTGGAGCACCGAAGAAGACAAAATTCTGACCCGACTCGTCGACCGATACGGCGCCCGAAACTGGTCCCTCATAAGCCGTTACATACCGGGGCGATCCGGTAAGTCGTGTCGGCTGCGGTGGTGCAACCAGCTCAGCCCAAATGTCGAGCACCGTCCCTTTTCTCCCGCCGAGGACGAGACCATCTTGGCGGCCCACGCTAGGTACGGAAACAGGTGGGCCACCATCGCTCGCATCCTTCCTGGTCGAACCGATAATGCCGTGAAGAACCACTGGAACTCTACGCTTAAGAGGAGGCAAAGAGAACATCGACAACCCGTCGGAGATAATAATAATAAGAATAATGGGGGTCGGAACTTGGAGCTGGGATCCCCGTCCGAAATGGAATCGGATCCGCTGACCACTCTGACCCTTGCGCAACCTGGGGTCAGTTGTTCCTTGCCGGAGCGGCGAATGGAGAGCTTTCCGGCGGAGTTCTGGGACATGATGAGAGAAGTTATTGCTAGAGAGGTGAAGAATTATGTGTCGTCGTCGGTGGCTGAAACAGTAGGGTTACCAACCATAGAAGGAATTCAGGGCGTGTCTCTACACTCTACAGGGCGATATTGAGTTAATTAATTAGTTGTGAATATTAATTACGGGAAGCAAAACAAGCGTTTCCTTTGAACCCATGATGACGAGGAAGCAATACAATTTCAGGCCTTGGTTTTCTTCTGTAATCTTTTTTATTTTAACATTATGTATAAATCAAGTTTCTTCAATTTCGAATTTTCAAATCAATATTTCTGTTTTATATTACCTGAGCATCAGAGATTTTAGCTTAGATGTGGGGTTTGTTGTTCACGGCTAATGTTAGATTAATCTTCTGAATCCTAGTGATATAAAGTTAAGACTGTAGTTTGTTAAATCTTAATCAATTTATTTAGAATTTATGTAGATGTAATTAACTATTGAGATGCAGTTCAACTGATCTGAACTGGTGAAGGATTAGACCGACCGTGGGATCGCAGTTTCCTTGGCTAGGTGTAGGGGGGTAGGAGCATGTTTGGCCAGGCTTCCTCGTAGGTAGCCAGCAGGTGTAGTTGGGAAATATAAATTGAATTGTTACAGCTGGGTTGGGCTTGGACTGGGCCACGAGGGGGGGACACTCATTTATTGCTGAGATCCGTCTAAGATCCTCTACATTATTCAGAATCCAGATATATATACTTGGCAAGGTATGAGGCCATGGACTATGTGACCCACAAGCCAACCTGTCTGGCCCAGTATGTAGTCCCCCCTGGTGACTTCTCAAGCCGTTGAGAATTTGGGATCCACATCCACCACTAGGGAATCAGGAATCAGGAGATGTCAAAGGGGTTAGCCAAATATTTTCTAATTGCCTCCTCGTTTGCCAAGTATGTGTCCTTTCTGGGCCTTTAGTTTCATCACCCTCTTTCTAAGGAACCCACCAGTCAGTTTCCTTGTGCAGAATCAAATTTACTTCAATTGACTTTTTTTCGTTTATGATTGATTGGTTGCACGCAATGTGAACGAAAATAAATGAGATTTGCAAAACGATACTCAACTGTAGTAGATCTTAGGGTCTGTTTGGTTTGCAGTCAAACTTAGAATTGGAATGGAAACAGAAATCCATTGTAATTGGAAATCAAAATGGTTTATTTTTTTTATATGTTTGCTTTAGATAGGAATCAAATCAGAATCATCTGGAATGAATTCTCATTCACAAGGGAGAGGGAGAGAATGGGCATTCTCTCAAATGGAGGAGGAATGTCATTCTAGTAGGAATAGAAATGAGATTCCAGACCGCTATTCCCTTGGAGTTCACATCTGCGCCCCACAATTCATCGGGAGGTGTTTCCAATACACGGCAGTGATGCGCTGTGGGACGTTGTGGGGCACCCCCTCGTGGGGCACAGATCTGAACTCATTCCCTTGAACCAAATGAACCCTTTATACTCTTAAGCCAATAATTCTCTACTTCTATTCCTTTTCTTTTTTACTTTGGACCATGGAGATAGGGGTCTGGACTTGGAATTGGAATAATCCAATCATTTGGTTGGGTGGAATTAGAATCTGATTTCCATTCTTGGTGGAATGGAATTCCTCTATTTAAGAGAATGACTGTTTCTACCTTCCTTGAAAATGATGACCCCAATCCAACCAATCCCAATTCTTGTCTGAACCAACACATTCCAAACTCTGATTATAAGATATTTAGGTTCTGATTTCAATTCCAATAAGACACCCTTAATTTGTATTTTTTAAGCTTAAGAGAACCCACTTTGTGAAAAATAAATAAATAAAAGTGGGGGCAAAGGTTAGGTTCATATCCTATCTACCCCTCCATCATAGACCCCACATTAACTATTGCTGGGGCAAACACACACAAGATTGCAGCTCCACTCTTTGATATTACTTGGGTGTTTGGAGAATATAGAATGTAATTATTGTACCATATTAAAAATCCATGCCAATAATGAATGAATGTGTTCATATCTATCAATATCATTCACGTCATTCATTGGATGGGAGTATCATTTTGACCAACACCATGAAAATAAGCGCAATAAAAGCCCATAGCGTCCAGATACATTCCTCTGTTGGGTTATAGAATCCACAAAATCCAATTAAAAGGTCAACAATGGCTAAGCTCCAAAAGAAGCAATAGGATTAACATATCTCACACTTAAAACAATGAATGGTTTGAAAGATCTTTCAAATATTCTATAAGTGATTCATTTTGATTTGACATCTTTGGACATTACATAATTAATGTTTAATATTATGTGTAAATCAATAATTAATTCTCTCTCTCTCTTTCAATTAGATAATGTTTGCGGGTCAAACCCACGGTGTATGACCAATCAAATACCAATTTCTACAACTTTTCTTAGAAAACTTCAGAACTTCTCTCTCTAAAATATTATAAAGTAGCAAGAGAAAATTGAAGATTAGTACCCTGAATTTTGGTTAGTTTCACGTTGGTCTTTCAACTTTCAAAAAGTGTCAATTTAATACTTACCGTTAATCAGTTATCAGTTATGTGTATCACGTGACATCACATTCAACTTAAATATTTACAAAATGAGAAAGTTATCTTTTATAATATTTTAGAGACTGTTCAACCATTATCTTTTAAATGTTACAAATTAGGGTTTTGTATCTCTCTTTTATTGAAATTCAAAGGACATTTGTATCTTTTTCATGAAATCTAATTTTAGCTAACGATTTTGTATTAAATTAGCACGTTCAGATACTGAATTAACATGTTTTAAAGTTTGGGGATCAAAATAAGACTAGATTTAAAGTATATGATACTAATATGAAATTTTTCCAAATAATTAAATATAAATATACACACAATAAAAAAAAAAATGTTATAATGAGATTGCCCTCACCGTGAGATGTATGAGGTGCCCTCCATTCAATCACCATGTTTCTCGTACATTGAGGAATAAAATGAGTCATGCATTTAAGAGAGAGAGAGAGATTAAATAAATTCACATAGAATAAAAATGATGCAAGTACAATTTTAATGAAACAACAGAAATTTCTGAATGTTTCTATTTCATCGAGAGGGAGCGACAAAACAACGAAGTTTTGTCCAACTAAAACCTATCATTCTTGATTCCTGTCTAAGGAGATAGAGAGCATACCATCAACCCCACCATATCATATTTAACAAAAATCGTGGGAATATCCTTTGGATAAATGCATGGAGAGATTGGGTTTGATAAGAATTGGAACTTGGTTCAAACTTCAAACCTAAGCTGGTTTGACCAACCCCCAGCCTGAACTTTACCCATCCCTTTTAAATTGAGTGAGACTGGCCGTGTGAAGGCACCATATGGGGCATGCCTTATTGTCAAAATTATTGACCAATCCACATCAGCGTCAACTACATGCAAGACATCAGCAACATCAAAACAGAAGATGAGATCATTTCTGGAAGTCTTGATCTGTTATTAATTTCTTTAGCTGTATTCTGTACAGTTGTATCTTGTATTTAAAATTCAAATTTTGTATAATATTTGTAATTTAAATACAGATGAATGAAAGTGATTTTTTGAGTTTTTCGATCCTCAAATCTAAGTAAAATAAGAGATGGAAAAAATATCAAAGGAAGGAAAAATAACAAAAATAATTAAAAAAATATTAAAACACTAAATACATATGAAATAGCAAAAAATAGGGAAAATACTAGAATATTATTATACAAGCATATTAAATGGCACAAAGAGATATTTTCAATTTTAAAAATTGGCTATTCAGCCTTTCAGCTATTTGCAACTCTTTTAGCAGTGAAACGAGAATGGTATATGCCATTGATATCCATCATAACTAAGGTTGTCTTTGGCATCATTATTGTTGTTTCAAACATTTAGGCTGCATTTGGAAACAATGCAATTGAATGTAAATATCGGTTCAGGGTAAATTTGCACTCTGATTCACTTTTGTCGGTGTTTGGCAACATTACATTTATGCATTGACAAATGACAAACCAATGCATATTTATATTGACAATAAGATGTAAAAGTACATCAATAAAAAAGAAGTAAATTTGCATTCAAGTGGGCTTTTGGTAAAAAAAAAAAAAAAACATGATTTATTGGAATTCATGTTTGCATCCATTACAGCTAAAAGTCTGTTTGGTAAGAAGGTAAATTTGTCGGTGCAAAACTAACGCAATTTTGCATTTTATATAAACCGTTTTACACTCTACATATTTGCATTCCCAAAGTACCCTCTACTTTGGGCCTAGTGCCACTTTGGTCCCTAAACTTTAAAATGCGACAATTCAGTACCCGAAATTTTAAACTGTGTCAATACAGTACTTGTTGTTAACTAGTTGTTAAATAGAATGTGGAAAGACACAAATGCCCTTTGGGCATCATCTAATTTTATTTATCAACCATCCAAATGCCCTTCTCAAAACTAAAACACCGCTCATCATCTTCTTCTTCAAAAAGATGAAATAGAGGTACAAGTTTTTTATACAAATTTGCAAGGGAATGGTAATGATCCGACTCCTACAAAAACCAAATGACTCCCCTTAAATCCCCAGGTAACGAATGTGACAAGTGTTGAAACCTCGGTGGGTTTGGGCTTGTTCACTATTGCTATGATTCAATCTTAATTCCTGAAGAAGAAGATGATGAACAATGTTTCGAGAGGTAATTTTGACATTTCCAAAAATTTTAAATTGTACATGTCATCATGTGATGCAGATAACTGACGAATGATTAATGGTAGGTACTAGATTGGCACATTTTGAAAGTTTGGATGTTGAATTGTCACATTTTAAAATTCAAAGATCAAAGTGGCACTAGACATTTCTGAAAGTTCAGGGTACTAATCGAGAATTTTCCCAAAAATTAACGAGAGAATGATGATTGTTGCCCTTTAGAGTTAAAATGTGAAATTATGTAAAAATAGCAATTTATATTGATCAACCCAAAATATTTCTGATAATGTGACTCGACAAGTGATAAAGGCAATGGTACCAACCACCAACTAAAACCCTTCATGGGTCAGAATCAGGGTGAGGTGCGCTTTTTCCCTCATTAACTCACTTCAGTAACATCCCCGGGGGAGGTATGGTAATGGAGGTTAACCATGGTGGCATCCATCATCATCTGTACTGGTAATTCCAAAAGCCTATTAAGGAGATAACGGAAATCCCGATCAATGCCATGTGAAGGCATGAACTAGTACCTACAGCCAAGGCTGTGTTTGGTTGCAATACAAATGCAAATATGTACCTTGCATATTTATCCTCTTTTTAGTTCATGAATGCAAATACAGTTCAGATTTTAAACCGTTTTTACACTCATCTCATTTGTTTGAAATTGGTGCTAAGTGTGGGCTCCATCATTAAATGCTCCAATGCCTTAACTTTGGTTAAAAAATTGATTATCAAAATAATACAAAATTGTATCTAAAAAATAGGTACAGTAATGCTCTTTTTTTAAAATACAAAAATATCAAAAAATACATTTTTAATCTGATAATCACTACTTTTTTGTATATCAAATAAATACTTGCAAACAGGAACACAGTACATAATATACCCCAGTACAACATTTATATTACAAACAAACGGAGCCCAAGGTTCAAAATATCAATTCAAGCTGATGCATCAGTTGGAACTTATTGAGCCTGTACTTTTGCTTGCTGGTCACACCCCGAAACACCCTTATAAAGACGTATACTATCGGCCGGCCCGATACGAAATTTTGAAGCTTGCCTATAACGAAATTATAGGAACAAATATATTCTGTATCACCAACTCTGAGATTTTGAGGGAAACCTTTATTTCGTGCGTCCACACATGCCATGTTCCCCATTGCTCGGTCCAAATACTCAACGCCGAACCCTACGGCTCCGGTCTCCTACTGACCAACCACCCCTAAAATTCAAAAAAGAAGATAAAGCTATCTGTTGAAAAAAAAAAATATATATATATATATATATATATATATATATATTGCGAGGATGGAGAAAACGACACCCAACATCTGTCATTGGACCTACCTCCTTCGCTTCAACAAACAGGAATCCGGAATCCTGTAATGAAATGAAAAGTCAATGAGATAATCTGATTGCACAGTGCATGATCGGAGGTAGGCTTCCCACGAGGCCTACACTCATAATTCCATTCAAATTGATGACTCACAATGAAACCACGTGTTTGGTTTTTCTTTTATTTTTTATTTTTCCCAGAATAGCTTCAACCATACAATTACTACGATGGAATGAAGAGAGTCAGAGAGAACAGGGAGTTAACTATAAAAGACCTCCATCGACATACTTTCTCCTGCACCTGAAGGTACGTGGAGGCCCATTACCTGGGCTTCACAGTTGGTGCATTTTCTGATAATCTCTTCTGATCTTTTTCTACTTTTCTTTCTTCCTTGACCTCCTTTCTCTCTTCTGCTGCTGGGCCCTTGCAAGAAAAAAGAGAAAAAAAAAAAACCCAGGGAGGGAGAGGCAGAGAAAACAAAGAGATAGAGGAGAGGAAGAAAGAAAGAAAAGAGATGGGCAAATACGGTGAGATGTTAGATACAGGAGTGAGGATCGTGGCTCGATTTCACTCGCACTGTCCTCAAACGGCTCGAATGTATTACAAACCACCACAGCCGGAGGAGGGGAAGGGGCCTAATGACGGCCACCTTGGCAGGATTTCAACTGCAGCTCCTCGTTCACCCCGCGCAAGGGCACTCGGAGTTAGTGCCACCGCTCCTCTTACACCCCGTACTAACGTTATTCTCTACTCTGTCGTATGAGGAAACACCCATCCTGATTCCTGAGGCTGAGGGTTTTTTTTTTTTTTTTTTGGAGTAGAGGGAATCAGGGAGTTTTATCTAACGTTCAATTTTGACATTCTTTTCATAATTTTCCTGTTTGACATTTATTATATCATACTTGTACCATTGACATATTGTAATAACACCAACGATCTAAAAGAGGAATACCAATTTCCTTCGGAAATTTCTGTTCAGTTCTCACCACATATTTCGACTTCGACCACCCAAAACAGAATAAGCTCCAAGGACTAGTAGGAAACCAATAACTTTTGAAGATGGAATCGCTTTGGGTTGAGGTGCACCTCAAGGGAATGTTTGGTTGGAAAAAAAGTTAGGGAAGGGCAGAGAAACGTAGGGAAATTTGTACCAGGTTTCCCTGCCTTTCCCTTTTGTTTCAAACCAAACACAGCTTGAAGAAGATGATGACTTGATTCAGGTTTAAAAAGTATTTGGGTTGCACAAACGTCATGAAATTGAAACCTGAGAAACCTGGTGAGATTAGATAGATTTGGCATGTTAACGAGATAAGCTCAACCCAACCCATGACACCTCTAAGCTTCGAAAACAATTCTGCCTACCAAAACTAAAAGAAAAATTGGGAAAAGGAAAAAATAAGAGCATTTTAAAGATGAATAGAGAAAAGAGAACATGAGAAACAATAAACCTGAAATCTCCATAAACAAACAAGAAAAAAGTAAACTACATAAATGGCCAACTTATGAGTCTGCCCACTTCCAGCACTCGCTAACCGTCAATCTGGTGCCAGAGTAAATGATGCCAGCATTGTGTGGGGTAAGGTGTTAAATGGATTTCAACACAACCTTGTCAAATCTGGGGAAAAAAACACAGAAAGAAAGAAAACCTACAGGAACATCATCTGCCGAAACAAAAATTTCTTTTATGTCGTTGGTGGGGTGGGGGCCCCAGCATTCTGGGAACTGGGGACAAAATGACAAATGCAAGAAAGAGTTCTGCAACAACAACAGCAAATAGGACAATATCATTCTCCAAATTACGCCCACAGTTTTAATAATGGCAATTAAATAGCTGTCAGGGCGTGGGCATCAGCATGGAAGGTTCAAGGGTGTCGCCAGATTGATTTTGAGAAATGACCAGTGAAAACGGCAACCAACCTGTTCAGAAGACAAAAACAAACCAACAAGCTTATTTGAGAAAATAGAAAATACAGTCAAGCAGTCTTATCTGAATTCTAACATTTTGCTAAGCATGTTATCCTTAATTTGTGAAATTATCAGGATATGCTTTGTAAACTAATCCATTAATATAATGACAATCATTTCTAATTACCATGACATTAGCAAAGGGGGTTGCAAAATACAGCCAAGCAGTCTAATCTGAATTCTAACATTTTCACAAGTATGTTGTCCTTAATTTGTGAAATTATCAGGGTATGCTTTCATAAAATTAGCTTGCTGTGAATCTTAAAGTAGCTGTGTGTGTGTGAGAGAGAAAGAGAGAGATGACAAGACAAGAAAAGAAAAGATACTATATTAACAAAAAACTATGCATGGACATCATCCTTTGGATTGCCACCCCAATGTTTCACACAATCTATTTCAGCTATCCCCACGCCGAGAGGACCAACCCAAATTCATCTTTGCCCATGTTAGCTTCTTTAGCAAGCTACATTTTATAAACTATTCCATTAATTCTACATAATGACAGTCATTTCTAATTCCCATGACATTAGCAAGGGGGTTGCAAAATGTATAACCAAAAGTGTCATGTTATGTAAGTCAGTATCAAAGTATCAACTACCTAATTTCCCATCAAGCTGCAAGTGTAAGACCTTCACAGACAGTAAGTAATTGAACTCAAGCATTCAACCCCATTGCAGTTTGAGCATGAAATGCTGGGACAGCTCACCCTTCATGGTCCCAAAAGGCACCTGCTGCTGTTAATTAATTTATTTATTATTTTGATAAATGCTGCTGTTAATTCATTAATCCAATAGTAAATACTTTAGCATGAAATGCTGTGACAACTCACTATTCATGGTCTTAAAAGGCACCTGCTACTGTTAATTTATTAATTCGATAGCTCACTTCTGTACTTTTAGCCATCCAGGTGATGGTGGTTGCCACCCAACTAGGATCTCGGTCCATTTTACACCTACCATTGTATATCCATTATTAAGGGCTGGACACAAATCAAGCTATTTGTGAGCCATTCAAGCTCGAGCCCAATATATAGGCTATTTGGGAGCCATTCAAGCTCAAATAGTATGAAGCTCAGCTTGTGAAGCTCACAAACCTAATTGAGCTTATATAATATTTTTAATTTTTTATATGTATAATAGGGAATGGTTTTTTGTGTATAATTTTTAATTTTTTATATGAATCTTGGGTCACTATTAAGCTTGATCTGTGCTGAGCTTTTGCGTTGAGCCAGTACTTCTAGCTCAAATTGAGCTTGAGCACCAACTCAAGCCTTATGTTTTTCTGCCGATCCGAGCTCAAATAGTTTAATATTCAGCTCGGCTCTCCTCGTATCTGCCCCTATTATTATTGCTCAAAAATTTCCAAGCATTACTCAGAGCTCCTTGAGTAGATTTATTTTCAGTTTTTCATAAAACATGCTATAAAAGCACTTTCCAATAAAACACCGCCAAACTAGCAATCCAATGAAAATCAGTTTTTCTAATTTAAAACAAATGGGATTGTGTTGGCTTTTTATTGGGCACAAAATTTCTGGAACATTATCATAGCAGATGTGAGCTCAGATAATGCATATATAGATGATGACATGCAACGCAAAATTACCAATAAGAAAAAAGAACAGGAAGAAAGAAAAACACACGTTACCTATTAAATTTGCTTATTGGCCATCATTTTCCACTTGCCCAGCTTCAATAGAATTTGGTTCCAATATGGAAAATCATAATTAGCTCAAGCTAGATGTAACACAATTCTTACGTGAGGCAGACATTTGGATCTTCCTCATCAGAGTCAAATTCAACCTGCAAACCAGGAATAAGACTAAGATGGTTGCTTACATCTTGGAGACCATTTTAAAGGCATAAAGAGGAGAAATTATAGCTTTGCAATAAATGAGTTAATAGCCTGGAAATTACGAAAAAAATGTAAACAAATAAGCAAAAGCTCACATTTTCATCTTTAAACCACTTTCCATGGCAATCACGTTTCCAACCTGCAGCTGTAAACTTGAGTTCCTTCTCTCGACGCTCACAGAGTTCCAATTTCTGATGTATGGGCATCATAGAGGATGATTCAGTTTCGCATCCACTCTTGTTAGAATTGGAGGATTCAGATTTTACTGTCAATGATGATTCCACTCTTTGTGTAGGTACAGTTGGGAACTTAGTTGCAAAGAATGAAGTACCGCCTTTACTGAATTTCGTATTATAGTCTTCATTTGTTGCATATTGATCAAGGGTTTGGTTATAAATCATCTCAGAGGTAGCCTTCCTTGTCCGTTCAATCAATGGTTTGTTGTTTATCTTTAACTGTTGGCTGGAAGTAGCAGAGCATGCCCTTAAAGAATCAGATGACAAGGCAATTCTCTTATTTATCTCTTCTTGTCTTGCTAATTCTCTTTCCTTGAACCTGGACTCTGCAGCAATGTGGCGTGCTCCCTTGCTATGCATCTGCAGAATTTTTTCTGACAATTACAAACCAAAAGTTGATGACAAAACCTTTGCACCACGGAATAAATAAGTAGATAAACAAAATTAGCAAATTAAAATTAACAAGTTAGAACAAACCAATGCATGAATATTTTAGTGTCTATTTTATTTTGCTAGCACAAAATATGGAACCTCAGGCCTTACTGAAATTATATTGCCCCATCTGCAGGCGCACACGCACAATCTACACTAAATAGATCTTTTATATGTTCTGTCCACTATTAAAACCACATGCAGTTCACATGCTTTCCTGCTTGTGGTAGAAACAAGGTTCAGTTGGTTGTTGATTGATAGGAGCACATCATTCAAGTTTCTCACATACTTATATTGGCTTCTTTATGCAGTAAAAATAGTTGGGAAGTGTACAAAACTTCAGAGCTTTTCTCCTTCAGCAATTACCTATTTATTTGTTATTTCTGGCCAACGATCAGTACTTGGTTTAGCAAATGGAAAGGGGATTGGGTCCCAAGTTTAGTGTTGGATGCATGTAGACTTCTCCAGCCAGGCAAGCCGGCATCTTCCTTTTGTCAATATTTCTTCCATCCTGCTACACGCTCTAGCTCATCCAAAGTGGATTACACTTATAATGCAAATGAAGTTTCTACATCTACTTATGCATTTTGACACAAGGAGGCTTGGACTCATGACATGGTTAGTTAAAACATGAACCGTTATCTTTGGGAGCTAAAGGTTTATAGTTTAATCTGATCAACGTGAAAAAACCCCCATCTTCTTGAAAGACTTATAGAGGTAATTGCATTAGGTCATGATTGAGGCAGCGAGTAACGATCTGAGGACTCCAGAACGGAGGAAGGATTTTTGTAGGCAACACCAAACAATTGAGTTACAAAGGTAATGTGCATTGCAGCTGCTAGGGCATTGGCTAGAAGCAATTCACTGCATTGTCAGCCGAGTAAACTTTAAAATGAGCATGTCTTAGCTACAGAACCCACTAAAGGTGACAACACTGCAACACTTCTAAATCAATAGTCTTTGAGTAAATGATTGAGTTATCAGAAACCTACTGGGAGACTAATCTAATTTGTCCCTAGTTGTTGTATTCATCTCTAACAATACTGGTTAATCCAGAAACAATTCACTAATTCCTGATCTTGACTGATTCCTGGCAGAAACAAATTGGCCAATAGTTTAGTTAGTAACCCCAAACAACATGGGGATTCGAGGGTAATTTCAGAGGCGTGAAGTGAATCCCTCAGTATTTGTAATGTAAAAAGCGGTTTATTTTCTTTCCCAAGTTGAACATTCAGAAAGAAAGAATAAATCTATGATTTCTGGTTCTATTAAATCCAAGAAAACAAGAAGATTACAATCAACAATAATGGATGAGAAGGAAGAACAAGGAAAAGAAAAGGCAGGGGGGTTACGCTTACGCACGGAGAGCATGAGAGGGGAATCGAGGATGGGATTGTTGGGGCACACGAGGCATGCGAATTTTCCGTTAGAGAGCTTCTTGTAGGAAGACGAAACGTCAGAGCCATCATGATTAAATTTGTTATGCTTGACTCCCTGCAACAACAGATCATCCACTCTCCTCTTTCTGTGTTGCGCCTCCCTTGCCCAGCTATCCCCACCGAACACGCTCATCTCTTAGATCTTTCGAGCTTCGATTGTGCTCTCTCAAGTCTGAAACGGTTCTCTCCAGAGTTTTCTCTGCTTCCAAAACGACCCAGGAATTGGAATAGGAGATGAAGTTGGGTTTACGAGAAGAAGGCTGCAATAGACGTTGTGGGGGCAATCTTGTGGGGGCAGATTTGCTCTCCAATTCACCCACCGTCCCATCCTGTGCCGCACCCAGCCAAAAATTCCCACCCCTTATGCTGCATTTGGTTGGAGTGTAAATTTGCACTTATACAAAATTATGTTGGTTTAATTTGGAAGGAATACAAATAGAAAAATATGGAGTGCAAAACCTTGTATTTTTTATTTATTTACACGGTTTGTATTTATATTCTTTCCAAATTGAACCGATAGTGCAAATGATTTAGGTGCAAACTTCGATTTATTTTTGTTTCAGATTTTAACTTGTTTTGTTTGATTGTAGTACAAATGATGTAAAATAAGTCGTAAAGCAATATACAAGGTTAAAATAAAGTTTGCGTTTTTTTTTCAATTTATACTAATATAAATCAAAATTATACTACAACCAAATATAGCCTTAAGCTTTTTTTATAGAAAAAAAAGGATCTCATTGGAATCAGAACTGTTTGATTGGGTGGAGTCGAAATTTCATTCCCATTCTTGGTGGAATGGCATTCCCCCATTTGAAGGAATGGGCATTATTTCCCCCTCTCTTAGGAATGGAATCTCATTCCAGCTGATTCTAATTTTCATTTTCATTCCTGTCTGAACCAAAAAGACTATGGGAATAGACCTTAATTTCCATTTCCATTCCAATTCTAATTCCAAAGGATTTCAATTCTGATTCTGACTGCAAATCAATGGACCTTAAATGCATGACACCTATGCAATAAAATACATTTCCCTTCGGATCTTTTTCCATCCTATCCGTTCCTACCCTACTTTTCTTGAAAATCAATAAACATGTTATCTCATCTCCTTTTCAAGACAAACCATTTAGGCTCTGTTTAGAAAGGGTGCAAATATTGGATCAATGTATATATGTGTTTTGGTTTAATTTTGCTAGTATTTGGGAAGAATGCATTTGTGCCTTGATAATGATAGAAGACATAGCTTTTGAGACAAATTTGCAATCAAAATGAGAGCAAAGTTTACATCCAAAAATGGATGCAAACTTTTACATTCAAAATTGATCAATGTTAAAAGGTATATTCTAATCTCAGGATTCATGTTTGCACCTATTACACCCAAGGTTCTAAATATCGATACGTCGATAGGGGCGTACTAGGCAATATCGACCTTTTTTTACTTTTTATTTTGTTTTAAACTAGTTCAAGGGGCTGGTGTAAGGCTCCTCCACCCCCTGAACCCATCAGAACCCTGATACACCCTTTATAGAGGCATATCGTGGTGCTCCCGATACGATACATATCGGTCAATACGGGTTGATACATGTCGATACCTTGAACCTTGGTTACACCTAAAAATTATTTGGCAAGAAAATAAATTTATCACGCAAAACTAAACCAACTTTATATTTACGTCGACTAGAATGCATTCTACATATTTGTATTTGCATTCTTCCCAAACAAGCCTTTATTCTATTCCCACTTTCCCATCCATCTATTACTTAAACATGCCCATCTCTATATTGTTTTCTTTCTTCTTTTTTATACAACTTGTAAGGAATTGTCTCTCTCGATTGCCCGAGACCAATCTAATTGGATGGCAATATTTCATTCTCTTTATCAAATATGTGCAATCATTAAGAAACCGTCTCTTCTTGCCACATGGTAAGTAGTTAGAGTGCCAGAAGTTGCCAATTGGACCAAGGAAAACTGCGATACCTTTTTTTTCTTCATTGTTTTTCATTGACAAATATATTTAGTATATCATGTGGTTGGGTCTAGCATATCTAGAGACATCATATGGTCTATCTTTTCTCATTTGAATGCATTGGAAAGGATTTTTTTTTCAACTAGAAGGAGATCCCAACTTATCATAAGATAAACTTGTCATTAAAGACTTTAAAATGTAAGTGGCGGATCTAAGACCTTTGACCAGTGGGGACAAGAATAATATCAACTTAGTCATAACAGGGTGGGTTCGGGGCAGCGACCATACTCCCATCCCCCACCTTGATCTTCGTCCAGGAGAAAGGTTCTCCATTGGGGACCCAAATCCTAGACTTTTTTAATAAAAAGTTTTGGGAAAAAATAAAATTGGCATTGGGGCAAGGCAGGGATTTCACTCCCCATTCCCGTCCCCATCCTCAACTGAGTATCCCTATCAATTTCCTTCCATACAAATGTAATCTCCATCTCTAAGTTTGGGTACCCAGTAGAGATGGGGGATATCGCTGATGTAACCGCTTCTGGTCACGTACCAATTTCTGTGATGTATCAATTTTTTTTGGCTAAGTGCCTCGTCATTTGGCCTGTTCCCAGGAGAGGATGGTGGAGCTCCCTGGTGGTGAGCTACTTGGTGACGAGCTCCCTGGTGGTGAGCTACCTGGTGATGAGCTCCCTGGTGGTGAGCTACCTAGTGACGAGCTCCCTGGTGGTGAACTACCTGGTGACGAGCTCCCTGATGGTGAGCTACCTGGTGATGAGCTCCCTAGTGGTAAGCTACCTGGTGACGAGCTCCCTGGTGACGAGCTCCTTGGCGGTGAGCTACCTAGTGACGAGCTCCCTGGCGGTGAGCTACTTGGTGACGAGCTCCCTGGCGGTGAGCTACCTAGTGACGAGCTCCCTGGCG